TCTCCCTGCCTCCCTCTTTCTCCACCTTTCTATCTTACTCGTACCCGGCCTTCAGCTTAAACCCTTTATTTTTTTTACTGCCTGCATGGCTCTCTTTCGCCACTTCGCTCTCTGCCTTACTCACATCCTAGATTCCTCTCCGTACTTTCACGGCGACGTTTCTCCTCTCTCTCTCTGTCTCTCTCTCTCTGTGTCTCTTTCTTTCTCTTTCTTTCTCTCTTTCTCTGCTTCCTTGTTTAATTTCACTGCCTGGCTTTCTTTCGCCACTCTCTGCCTTTCTCACATCCTAGGTTTCTCTTCGTACTCACGACGACCTTCAGCCTGTAGAGCGATTATATTCGTTCGTTAATAATAATGTATTCACTCATCTTCGTTCATTACAGAACCTTGTCCACTGGTTGCCCGCCGTGTCCATGAGTAAGCACGGCTACCGACGACAGCAAGTGTCGTGGTCGGCTCAAGCCATCGCCGCCGCTCTGCTGGCGCGTATTGTCGTCTATCTTAGCGTCGCCAACGCATCGTCGTCGATCGAGTGGCCGCTGCAGCGGATGGCTAACATCAGTGGCGACGTGTTTATAGGTAAGACTTGATGATGGCCGCCGATCACATTAACATCTACTTCTGTAGGTGTGACTGAGCAAATTTCCATGGGAAGGCGGGTAGAATTTCGCGAGTCAGCTAGGTATTGAGGAGAATATCTTGCTTATTTCGAGCACTTTACAGAAATAAATCATATGTAGGATGTAATGTTAGGTTGAAGGGATTATGAAAATATTATTTATTACATTTATTTTAGGATGGCTATATTTATTTTGCTTTTTGTGTTTTTTTCTTGCCCCTTCCCAGCAGGCTACACTGCTTCCATTTCACGCTTAAGAATATATCTCAATCAACCCATCAATCATTCAATCAATCAATCAATCAATCAATCAATCAATCAATCAATCAAATATCGGCATTATTTTAGATTCTAACTGTCTTAGCGCGATGAAGATACAAATTAATGCGCAGCTGAATCAGCAGTTTATGTTATATGTGTGTGTATATATATATATATATACATTTATTCATTTATTTATGTACGTAGTATATAATTTATGACTTAATCGGTAACACCCCCTTGCCTGCTAAATTTTAGTCTCTCTTACAATAGCCACGGTTTTGTCCAGAGCTTGATACGGGCACTTACGGCGTATAGAGCGTGGCGCAGATGGGGTCGTTGTCGTATCAGGTACTACAGATATGTACCCGAGGTAGTTTTAGGTTGGTTTAGTATTATGTTTATATTTTTATATGAGGTATGTTTAGGGTAGGGTTAGGGTTAGGTTAGTGTTAGGGTTAGGGTACACTGTCGTGTACAGTACAAGTCTTGGTAGCACTTTGTGTATCATATATGTACCGTCGCTACCCGTATCCTGTAGTAACCTGATACACGAGCAAGAGCCGCCTTGAGCCATAGTGGCTTATTCATAATGGCGGCATCGCATGCGAACGACAAATGTGCTGACAAAACATTTTATATCCGGCGAGGGCATAAGGCGTGTGTAGTGTGTGTGTGGTGTGTGTGTGTGTGTGTGTGTGTGTGTGTGTGCTGCGATGTGTGTGTGTGGCGTGCGTGCGTGCGTGTGTGCGTGGGCGCGCGGCAGCGTCCGTCGTGTGGGCGGGTGTTGTGTGAATGTCTGTGTAATCTGTGTTTGCATATAATCGTATTAATATATATATATATATATATATATAGGTATATATATATATAGTAATATTATGTATATGAGCGAACGCGCGATAAACACGTGATTCCCCTTGCTATTCTCAACGAGCAAATAACACATCATTGTTATGAACACATAGCTTTGGCCAACATGTCATCAGCTCAAATTTAGGACTTCCTCTCCGTTACTACGAAGGATTTATCGACAGTCAGATATTCGTCCAGCAGTTGCCGTTGTTCATTTCGTAATAGGTGCCGGTTCTGGCGTCAAAGCCTCGCCTGATTCCACGCAGTCTTGGATTCACTCCTGACCGTTATGGTCACCAAAACCAATAGCACAATATGAATGGATTGACAAACATAGAGCTGCTTACTCTTCTTTTACAAGAAATTTATCAAGAGCTCCTCATAGTAAGAATTTTGATTACTACGATACGATTGATAGATAGAATTTTCTTATTATGCGAGCTAATTGATATTATTCTTCTGCAATAACGCCCCCGTTATCGTTATCGCATAGATTTCTGCACGATGAGTGGTGGGTGAGATGTATTGAACTGTAGATATATAGTGTTGCATGTTCCTTCGCAAATGGTGCGACTCACATAGTCACATATACCCTGCGCGGCTGCGCGTGGGTACCACAGCTCTGTAAAGCTAGAGTGTGCGCGCAGGTGCTCATGGTAAATCTGACCTTCACTGCGCTGTGCCTGGCCGCGCTCTTGCGAGCTGTTTTATGCGTCAATATATGAAACCAACTTATACAAGATCAAAGAAGTCAAAGAAGAATGAGCCGCCTTTAATGTTTTGTCGATTTGCTCGATTTCTTTTACATCGCGTTGTTTGCCGGTTTGATGCCACGACAGAAACCAAAAGAAAAACAGAACTGCGAAACCGAAAACCGTGACTAGCTAGAAAGACGTATAATTACCTCGATGGATAATCACTGTGATTATATCAGTAGACGATCTACGATTACTGAAATATTGCCAAAATAATGGCATCGGTAATCTATCACATGATTTTGCTTGTAGCTAACCTCTTGCATAAACCCCTTTGAATGTAATCACAGTAAAAATCATATAAATGATAAATGAAACTATAAGTGACACGTGCTCGAATAAGTGAACGTTAGGCTTGAATGAAAAGCTGTAGAAATCATGCCCATTCTAGCTCAAAATAGAATGCGATTAATCGACCACGTTTGGCGCCATTTTGGATAGTGGCGGCTTGGTGACGGGAAGCTACATCAACACAGTTATTGCTGACGTCGTTATACACCACAGACTTGCGAATAGGGCGAGAAAAACCGCTGTTCGTAACATTCTTCCTGATAATTGTACACTTCTAAAAAACTGAAACCTTTCAAATCATGTTCCCTGAAAAGCTTTTGTCTTTAAGCCTACTATGTAGATCTAGACAAATGAAAGCGTACGCACTGCGCTAAAATGTCTCCTTTTACCTAAGTGTTTACGTTTTGCGGCCGGATTTCTAAAGAATCTGCCATTAAATCAAAAAAGCTTTTAGCTGAACATCGGTCATTGGGTTCTTCAATGTCGGCAGGGCGAGTTGAACGACCGTATCTTTGGAGACTATTTGACTGCGTTATACATTGCGACCCCGCGCAATACCATATCATATCTGGACGTGATGGCGGTGATTGGTTTATCACAGATTGATGCACAACGCCACCTATATACGATACATTAGCACGCCTTCGTTGTCGTCTATAGTTGGTAGTGGGAACGTTTTTGATAAAAGTTTACGAGCGCGACTGACCATATGCCGCGTTCCCCCGTTCGGCTTACACCGAGATGCGAATTAGACGAATTTAAATGTTTCCATACATTGTCGAGCAATTTCCTAAAGACAAGAATTTGTCGAAAAATGCTCCGCATGCAGGTGACACTGAGGTCGACACCTGCCAATATTCACCATGGCAACGAAATCCCACCAGACTTAAGATTTAAGAACGATTTTGTGACAACATATGATACGCGGGCACGATTAGCCAGGTTACACTCAACGTTGCGTGCGAACGAAAGCTGGCCGTTAGACAAAGAAACAGTCACACGTTTTAACGTTCACGCTTATCGTATCAATTGTATCACGATTGTTAATTGCGTATTGATAAATTCTCAACTTCGGCTGTATCGTGTGATTTATATTGTGTCTACACTGGTGTGAAAACAAGCTGTCCAGTTGACCAGTGTGCAATATTTCATCGATCTGAAATGTTGAGTTTGGAAGCGTGGTCGTTGTTAATACACACATAAGTGTTCCAAACGAGAATTGTACAAACAAAGGAAATGAGGAGATAAAGGAAAAGACAGTGTGTTTGAGAGAGAGCGCGCGCGCGCGCGTGCGTGCGTGCGTGTGTGTGCATATGCATATGCATGTACAACGGACAATAACTGGCAGCCTTGCTCCACCATTATATGCACGTACAGAGCAAATGATTGAATTCCGAGAGTACAGTAACAGCAAACGTAGCGCAGTATGTTGCAGGTGCGCATTGACTGCCTAGTACGATCATTGCGGCACAAACACACATGCCATATCGTAAGGAGCCGCGTACGGCAGGAGCGTAATAATTACGGTAGCGCCTTGTTAATATACCAACGCTGCAACAGCTGTTATAATATATCATCGGTAGTGAATAATAATAGACAATAATAATAATATAATACAATATAATATAATAATAATAATAATAATAATAATAATAATAATAACAATAATAATCCTCACAGATGAGCAGAAAGGCTGTAGAAGAGCGTCTAGAGGGTGCAAAGACCAACTTCTCATCAGTAACATGATTGTGGAATTTCATAGGAACCTATGAATGGCGTGGATCGATTATAAGAAAGCCTTCGACGGTGTCCCACATTCCTGGATTCTCGCAGCCATGAGAATCTACCAATCATCATTCAGTTCGTGGAAGCTACAATGAAGGAATGGAACACTAAAATTCTCCTCTTCTTTCAAGGAGGCTGCCTCAGGACAGAAGATATCTCCAAGATTCTTCAAGATTTTCCAAGGCGACTCGCTCTTTCCCCTGCTATTCTGCTTAGCACTAACACCGCTTACCAACATGCTGAATAGACAGGGGCTGGGATTTACAGTCGATATAAACACAACACCATCAGCCACCTGCTCTACATAATGGATCTATTATTATTCACTCCTGATATTATATATTCACTAAAATTTAGCTGAGATGCACAAACCTGCGTATTTGGCACAAGGCACTTGTCTTAGCCACACCATTATTAGCACACTTTACTATAAAGTCTTACGACTAGTATCCCAAATTCTCTAATTGCTCGACTACTTGGAAAGGATGCTTATATTTTAGGGTATATAATTATACATAATTCCCGTTCCTAGCGGGAATTAGCGGCGTTATGCACCTATTTCGATGATGGGTAGGTAATTCTGTGATTATATCTGAGAGAAATGCTGCTACGTTGAGATCAATGACCATGGTTATGGTGACATCCAGTGTAGCTTGAGATATATATCACGGCCATTAGGTTTTGCGTAGGACTACACGATAAGGGCGTGACCCGCCGAGAAATCACTGCTTGCATCAGCTACATGACGTCAGCCGCGTGACGTCAGCCGCGTGACGTCATCCGCATGACGTTGGCCGCGTGACGTCAGATATATGACGTCAGATAAGTGAAGCAAGGCCGGTCTCGGCGAGCCCGCTCTGTGAGTGGAGAGCTGGCGCACTGCTTCCGGATTGCTATTTCATTTCATAGGGGTCAGGAAGATTTCACGTTACCTGCCTGCACGTGAAAAGCTTTAACCCCAACCTGCACCCTAACATTAACACTGAGAATAATCCTAACACTACACCTATAGCTAGTCTTAAGCCTAACCCTATCTGTAATGATCTTACTACCATTTATCCCTAACCATAACCTTGCGAGTATCCCTGACACTAAGCCTAAACCTAGTAATAAACAAATTCTAATCACATCACCAATGTTTTCATGGCGTCGATTACAGAGCGCGAATCACGTGCTCATGTGTCCCCGTCTTTGTCCTAATTTCTACTCGTAATGATGTTATTTGAACTCAACAAGATGGCATCATCAATTACTTTCCACGTATCGTCAATAATGTTTTCTTAGATCTTCACCTCAGGCGGAAATCCTACAACCTTAAATCCGCTAAGCGAAAAAAACGTGTAAAAAATATCAAATAAGAACGCATGGTCTTATAACCCTATTCCTAAGCCAGAGTTACAAAAAACCTAAACAACGAATTAGAATGCCTTGCAAAATACAACCGTCCTATAACCGTAAGCTGATAAGACCAAAATAAATCCAAAATGAAGCGCAAAATTCAAGCGCAATTTAAAAATACGCTGAGTAAAGCAATCATGAAACTGTTTATACCTCAACTCGTCACTTTTCACAATAAAGTAAAACTGCCGACGAAAAGTCTAGGCGAAAGTTAAGGTTTATCGTCTTAAAGCGTTACGATGGAGACAAAAGCAAGTTTCTGACCCCTCAATTTTGACGCTTGCCCGATGTAAACACACTCGCTTTGAACATGACTTCGTTTATTCATAAGATTTGGCAGGGCGTTCAGAAGCAGCCAGCGTAAATACGATGAAGATTTACAGAAAATTGTCGGACAATTTGTTGCAATTGTTATAGTTTATTCATCACTATTTTCTACCTTTTCGCTTTGTTTCTCATACAGCTAAATCTGCCTGACTCCATTTCACGTACTACTGCTAATGTAACCTTAACAGCCCTGACCCGTTAAATCTATCGACAT